CACTCAATGGCAGGAGCCCCTCCCAAAGCTCCCAATGCCCCAGCACTGACACAGCCTCCAGCTATCGCACTCACCCCCAGCAAGTCCTTGCCCAAGGACATTTTTGATGGTTGTGGTGCCTGGCGCCTGATGCCCCTACAGCTGCGTCCTCACCAGAGGGAGCTGTGTCCCTGCTGAAGGCACGGCCCAATTTTGGCCCGATTCCCTACTCCTTCCCCTTTTTATAGCCCTTGGCAATGCTCCGGGCAACATACTGCCCAGGTCTAATGGGCACCCAAAGGTGCTGGGGACAGAGGAGAAGGCTGCTTGGATTTGCATTTCTCCTGGCACTCACCTAGCCATGCCAGACACAGCCTGTGCCCTGCCAGGAGGCTCTTATGTCAGCCCCTGTGCGGTTAGTTCCCTGAGGGGATTGCAAGGTTTCTCCGGGGCTAGTACCACCAGCAGTGCTGTACCTGCAGGTGTGCTGGGCCGGGGAGATTAGGGCTGGGCCCCCCCACCTCCTGGAACAGCCCTTGCTTTAGCTGCTTTTGAGACTGATCCCAGGGCAGGCTCCAGTGACATGGTGCACTTGAGCTGTTCCCCACTGTCCTCGTCCGTGTGTCCGTGGGAGAGTGACCCCTGCTGCCACCCCTGTGCCACCCCCATCCAGCCCAGGAGCAGCTCTTCTTCCACCTCTGCCACCTCCCCAACACGACACACCAGCTGCCTGCACCCCAGCTCCAGCCAGGCAGCAGTGAACCTGGACTTTATTTGTTTCAGTGCATAATCACCCTCACTTTTATGCCTGATGTGATGAAATTGTTGTAAATGTTCTGTTTCGCAGTGACTTAGGGTCTAGAGCACAAGTCTTATGAGGAGCAGCTGAGGGAGCTGGGGTTGTTTAGCCTGCAGAAAAGGAGGCTGAGGGGAGATCTTCGCTTTCTACAACTACCTGAAAGGAGGTTGTAGCGACGTGGGTGTCGGTCTCTTTTCCCAAGTAACTGGCGATAGGACGAGAGGAAATGGCCTCAAGTTGTGCCAGGGGAGGTTTAGATTGGATGTGAGGAAAAGTTTCTTCACCGAAAGGGTTGTCAGGCATTGGAACAGGCTGCCCAGGGAAGTGGTGGAGTCACCATCCCTGGAGGTATTTAAAAGACGGGTAGATGTGGTGTTCAGGGACATGGTTTAGTGGTGGACTTGGCACTGTTAGGTTAACGGTTGGACTCGATGATCTTAAAGGTCTTTTCCAACTGAAACGATTCTATGATTCTATGATCTTCCCAGGGCCGCTTTGCAGCTCCTTGTTGGGGGACTTTGACACATAACCCTGCGCTAAGTATGGGTATTACCAACATCTCCCCACCAAACCAGACATGCTGAAAGCAGTCCCAGCCCAGCTCTGGAGACTGCTTCCTCTGGTGGCTCTTTACAGCCAAGAAAGCAGGTTTTCAGCCTCAGCTTTACCATTCAGGCTATATTCCCTGCCTCTCTGCACTGCTGCGATGCTCGGCCGGACCCAGCCAGGCTGGGACCAGCCCAGCCAGGGATTGTCTCTCAGCAGTTTAACCCAGACAGCAACGTGGATCAGAAGAGGGTTTCCCAGGGCCCAGCAGAGGCATTGTCTGCTCTGTGTCCAGGCAGCCCCGGCGCCCGTGTTTACCACTGCTGTAAGGCCGTGGGGTCATGAGAACTTGTATGACTTTATTGGGGTCTGACAGCACCCTGAGGAATCCCAGAGCCAGGGCGAGTCGGGGCTGAAGGGAGGCTGGCTGCCCACCTCTGTGCTCCCCACGGGCTCCGGCCACCTCCTCCCACTGAGCAGGGCTGTCAGGCACCCGCTGCAGAGGGGCTCGGGGGCAGGAAAGCTCGGGGTAGCCCAGAGCACCAACAGAGGAGGGGCAGGGATGTGGTTTGGCAGGGCAGTGCCCTTGCCCCTCTTGCCTGCCCCCAAGCTGGACTGGCAAAGGCCCCCACGGGCTGGGATCCAGTGCCCGGCATGGGGTCCCCAAGGCAAGAGCAGCTCGGGAGCCTACCAGCCCCTGGCCAAAGGTACGGGGCAGATGTGCTGGAGGGGTCTCCCCTTCTTGCTCTGGGGGAAGATGACCCCCCCAGCTCCCCTCCAGCAAGAATAAGCAAGTCGGCCCCCAGCCCTGCCCTTAACCTGCGGGAGTGCAGGCATCTCCAGTTACCCCAGGAAGGCAGCCAGGGGCTCCTGAGCTGCTCTTGGCATGGCAAACTCAGGCTGCCTGAAATAGCTTGGGCTTGTGCCATGGCAGAGCTGCAGCAGCCCCGGATCTATCACCCAGAGCAGGGCAAGGCCAGCAGCGCTGCCCGGCTCTGCCTGCTCTGGGGTCTGTGGGGCTCACACCCACCGGAGACCCCCCCACTGGGCACCAGCAAAAGAACAGGGCTCAACAGCTTCTGGGCATGGGAAGGCAAGGCAGCAAACCCCTGCCTGCACCGGATGTGCTAGGGATCCTGCAGGGAGCTGAAAGGAAAAGGGGTTGTCTCCAAAATTCTGCCAGGCTGAGCGTGGCTTCCTTGCTGGAAAGCCAAAAATAGTCTCTTTAGTCAGAAGAGGCTGTAGGAGGGATCTCACCCAAAGCGCAGCCAAATACCTAGGAGGCCGTAGGACAGACCCACAGAGCAGTGTGGCTTCGCTGAGGAGTTATCAGACCTTGGAAAGGCAGTGGTTGTAGCTGAACCAGCCAGTAACCCCATTACCTCTGGGCATCTCATCATGCCAAAGGCACCACAGGAACCAGGCCGACTGGCGAGGGGACACCCCACCCCAGCAGAGCTGGGGATCAGCCACGTGCCTCCGTGGCTGCCCTGGGTCTGTGGCAGAGGTTCAGCTCAGGGGATGGAGATGGCAGCAGGACAGGGGATTTCTTTCAAGTCTTTTGTGGCCTGGCCCAAGGGATATCTGGAAACCCCCTGGGCGGCTCTGCTTTCCCTGCAGCGCCAGACCCCTCACAGGCAATGCCATCCTCTGCGGGGCTGCTGCTGCCTGCACTGGGCACCACCCGGCTGCTGCTGCGTAAGCTGGCAGAGCGCCGGGAGACCAGAAAGGCCATGCCCCTGCCGGGGGAGCGCTCGGGCCAATTGCTCATGTGGCAGCATCTCTGCGCTGTGCTGACTTATCACCTCCCCGTTCCCAGGGGTCTCGCTCCCTCTCCCAGCACTTCTGTGGGCAGTTATTCCTGGAAACATCCTGGAGTCACCTTCAATCATGCCTTTGCCCGCTGACATTTATAGAGCTTCTTCCAGCGGCTGATGGATTTAATGGTGTGAATCTCTCCCCAGCCCTAGCCCGTGTTCATGCCTTTCCCTCTGCAGGGTCTCTCATTGCCCTGGGCCGTGGTGAGGGCTAAAGGCAAAGCTGCAGCTCTGCTGCCAACAGCTTTCGGCTTCTGGGCAGGGAGACCCATCCCGGCAGAGCTCAGTTGTAACCGTCTTCGGTCTAATGCCCTGCCCACCAAGCTAATCCTCCCTTGGTCTCTCCCAGCCATTTCTGCTTCTCAGATTTCTCCCTCTTGGGTGGAGGAGCCACAGGGCTGCCAAATCTTGCAATCCTCAGGCTATTTCTTAAAGCCCCAGCTCCTGAAATGGTGGGAAAACTGGAGGCTCCCACCTTCCAGTGGCTCTTGTTTCTTTACGGAGTTTCTCGTCCTCCTGCTTGTGCAGAAAAAGCAAGGACCAGGAGCCTGCAGCCCGTGCCAGGAAACCCGGGATGGGCACACAACCCAGGTGGACCCGGGCTGCAGAGCAGTGGCTGTGGCTGCTCTGTGCCCAGGGACACCTAGACCTGCCGGGTGGCCGTCGAAAATCCCACTGGGGGTCGCTCGGCCTCCATCACCCACCCTCAGGAACCAGGGACAAGAGAGATGCTTAAGGGAAAGGTGGAGCCGGGGCTGGGCTGGGGCTTGGGCAGGGTGTCCAGCATCCAGCCCTGCAGTGTGGGGGTCCCTGCCCTCCAGCCCCTCGGCAGTGCTGGGGCCCGATGCCCCTGAGGACTGCACGTCCCCCCTGCTCACCCAGCAGCCTTTCCAGCCGCAGGAAAACCCCTCTTTCCCCTCACCACAGCCCACCCCCGTAGCCCTCCACGCAGGCCAGGCCAGGCCGGCGGATCCTCTGGAGCAGCCCTGAGCCAGCCCAGGTGCTCGCCAGCAGCACATACCAGGGCTGTGAATGGATTTCCTCCAGGGAGTTATTTTGGGCATGGCGCTGTAGGACGGATGCCGCTCCTGCAGACGTTATGGGACCATCCTTCAAGAGCCAGGCGTCACCCACGGGCGCCCGGCTTGAGGAACCCAGAGCTCTGCTCTGGGAAGGTCAGCGCAACTAGGCGATACTTTGGTGCTCAGCACGTGAGCTGCTGAGGCTGGCTTGCAGGTCCAGAGCTGGGTGGGACCCTGAAAGAACTCGGTATCAAGACAGCTAACAAAATGGTAAAAAAATAAGCTATTCTATTAATTGTCATTATATTAGACAAAATATTAGCATTTTGAGCAAGTGTGTTGATGATAGAGTTTTAAGATGCCCAACAAGGCACAAACTAGTTTACTCAAAATGAGGAGGCAAAAGCCCTGCTGAGCCCCAATCTCCTGTGTGAGGTGCACAAAGCCCTCCAGCCTCACCCAGTGCCGAAATTCCTGTGCTGTCCCCAACATTGCCCCCATTTGGAGCGGTCTGGAGGCATCCTGAGGACCCCCAGTCAGACAGGGGGTGCGGGACTGCCTGGCCGAGGAGCGTAAACCTCAGCTTCTCCATTTGGGTCACAGCCCGTGCCAGCAGCATGCGATGGGCTGGGCCATGAGCCAAAGGGGATGGGGACCACCCTCCTCCGTGTACCTTGCCAGGGTGGCCGGGCCAGGCAGGCCCCCTCCTCCCACCACCACCCTCAGACCCCATTCCCCTTCCTCTCTGGCACCCATCGAAAGAGCCCAGCACTGGGCACAGTCAGAAAGGCGCGGTGCCGGGAGCTGGGCCATGCGGGAGTAAGAAGGGGACATGAGGATAGAGCAGAACTGTTTTTATTGGAGGTGTCAAGAGCAGGAACAATAACAAACCTACAGGCTCCCCTCCTCAAGTGCCATCCTCCTCCCCCCCCCACCACCACTGGGGCAGTCAGCATCACGTGTGCGTGCTACAAGACAACGGCAAGGCTTACACTTCGCTTCAGCCAAAAGCCAGACAAAGCCCCCAGCATCCCGGGCAGTGCCGCCACCCCCTCCTTGGCGACTGTGAGCTCAGCTTGGCCCCGCCAGAGGCAGGGCAGGACATTCACCTTCCCCTCCGAGGAGGGGTGAGCTTTGCATGAGAGGAGGATTTCGTTAAGGGAAGGACAGGAGCACAGCTCCACCGAAGTGCTGGGGACATGACCTGGGCTGCAGCTCCCAGCGGGACATCTCGGAGGACCCTGGGAGAGAGCAAGCCGTGCAGCCTGAGCAGAGCTGCAGCAGCCACAGGCAAGAAATGGCATCGCCAAGCCCCAAAGGGCTTTGCTGCCCCCTCTCTTCAACATAAACCAAACTGAAAGGGAGAGGGGTCAGAAGACAAACCAGGAGGGGAGGTGAAGCAGGTCTGGAATGGCGTTCGGCTCTGGCTCACTTCCCAGCCCACCACTCCTCCTGGCGCTTGGTGAGGATGTATTTGAAGAACTCGTACACGGACCAGGCGATTGCCGTTGAGGGCATCTGATAAATGACTCTCGCCTGGACCCCTCTGAAGTAGGCGGTCAAGCCGCCCACTTGGTACACCATCCTGAAGGCATTGGCCATGCCTGTGATGTGTCCGCTGATGTTGGAGCTCAAGGCCAGGGACTCCTGGGTGTTGAGCAGCGTTTTGCAAACGTCCAAAGGCGTAGTGGCAGCGGCAGCGACAGCCCCCGCGCAGGCTCCGGAGACCACGTGGGAGCCTGGGTTGTACTGTCTGTGGGGGTTGAGCTGCTCTTGCAAGAACTCGTAGGTCATGAAGTGAATGGCTTGGAAGGGGATGTTCATGGTGAGCTGGGTGGTGTAGCTGCGGTAGAAAGCTCCGGCCCCTTCGTTGCGCCACACAGCCCGCACACAGTCCGTCACACGCTGGTAAGGCGAGTTGTACATCTGCATCCTCTGTTTGACCACTTGGGACGGACGGTGGCAGCCAGCAGCAGCAGCAGCCC